CAATGCAACAAGTCAGAACATGAACAAGCATCGCAATGGTTACAGATTCTGTTCCCGTCACTTTTAACACAGTGAATTGCAGTATGAGCCCATATCCTAGTGATCAGGTGCATTTCACGTTGATGCCCCATCCCGGATTGATACACAGTGAGGTCGATGGAATTGCGTCGATAGCGACTACTGTTAGCCCGTTTCGAAAAGAACTGTTCCAATACACTAGATTACGGATTGACCAATTATTGAATATGGGTTCTCTCCCGGGAGAAGTGAATTCCATTTCACCTGTTAACTGAGCAGTTGGCAATTTGTTTGCAAACGTTTCATCACACCAGTCGAGATGACGTCATCAGTGCTTGTGAAGTGGCAGTGTTCTGCTTGTAGACGTTCGTTTTTATGCATTGGTTTTTCTCCACCGACTATTTTTGTCTCTTGCTCTAACTAGATCACATAGACCCGCCAATGCAACTCAAGGATAAAGTGACGCAACAGAAAAGGTCACACTGTGACCTGAGAACGGAACAAAACCGCAATCAGGAAGGAAGGACAACCTCATCCCCCACTCCACCCATCCTCACACCAGTTCAACGGGGAACCGAGTCGAACAGAATGAGAACAAGGGACAAAAATAGTCGGTGGAGAAGAACAATGCTACTTCACAAACACTGACGATGTCACCTCGGATGGTGATGAAACATTGCCAGGATCGGCGAACAGGTGAAATGGGGCTTACGAATTATCAATTTACTCATATTTATTCTGTACGTATACACAGTGAACCTGGATCGTTCAGCCAACCCACTTGGGAGGAACGACACAGTGCTTTCGTTATTCAGTGAGGCTGATGAATCGATTCAGTTCACTTTGGAAAACAAAAGACAAACTGATCTTCGTGAATGTAGTACTTCTCCAAGAAGATGACCGATCTTTCAGAATGACAAGTATGCACACAAAAAAACCTTGGACGGAGCAATAAGCAAAACTTTCCACAATCAAGTGATGAGCACCCGTGAAGTCTACTCTTGCTGCGTATCAGATTGAGAACAGACAAAACCTAAGGACTGTATCGGCATAAAGTGTTATTCAAAACGGTCACTATCTTGACCGGTTCCTGAGGTTCAGTAGAAGAAATTATTTATCTGTCTACCTTGTCAAGGAGATGTGTGATAGTACACGTCTTGTATCAATGCTTGGCGCTTCCAG